GAGGGCTTGTTGAAATTGAAGACAAGTAGTGGGAGGAAGGGGAACGAGATACAGAAGGTCAGGAGGTTGTGAGTGTGGATGTTGATTTTCTGCTTCCACAGGAACAGTTTTGGATTGTGTCCGATTTTGAGTGTGGCTATGGGAAAGGGTGGCTGACTTGAGTTCTGTTGTTGCCTTTGTACCTCTCACCCACTTAGGTAACAATAAGCATTTATTACCTTGATATTTTAAAAGGTTATTCTGTAGATGCAGAACTAGAAAAACAATTAGTAAGCAGAGTGTTTATTTTTTTAAAATTACTTAAAAAATGTTTACAGAGATGTGGGTTTACATAACTTGGCGACAACATTTAAAAATGTACAGGCTATTTCATATTATTGCACTTACTCTTTAATAATATAAGGCATTTTATTTTACATAAATAAAGGATTATGTATATCATACAACAGGTGTGGTGCCAATTAAGTCAACCATAAAATTAAATGAGATGTGTATGGTAGAATAGAAATGAAACTCAACCTACTTCAACCTTCACTGTCTATCCTTGCAACTACGACTTACATGTTATAACACATATTTACCCTCATAGCTTATTGTGAATGATTGACTAGTTAACAAACCAAAACAATGAAAGTTTTAGTAGGACAATATCATTAGTGTTCACTTCAGGAAGTGTGGGAATTCATTAGACTAATTAGAAATACTTGTCATGCCTTGAACACTGAAGACAAATAAAAAGCTATCTTAGGGTCAAAAACAGTTTAGCTTTTGCTTCCTCCCTTATGTTCCAACTGTCAGCCAGGGAACCCTTCTGGCAAGATCTCCTAGAAATGGCTGATGACTTGAACATAGTTGAGTGAGCCAGAGGTCTGCTACCCTCGCACCCTTCAGAGGTGAGTGCGGATCAGGCACTCTCTGAAGGGGACCATCCCATTGTACTGCATTGCTCTGAAATCCTGTCTGTCTATTCTTAGGAGGCACAGCTGGAAGAATAGAGGCAAAAGTAGTTTTCAGTGTTGACTTCAAATAGTTGCGTGTCAAGAAAACAGAAACCACAAAACTGACCCCAGAGACTTAAAAACAATCTCACATGCACCTTGCACTGACTTTCTATAGTATCTTACCTGGAATTATAGTGAAAAGTAGAAGCTAAATTAATCAGGTCTTTTTAGCTAATTCCTGTACTATGTTTTCTTTTGTAGAACCTGTTAAAAAATGAGAAATCTGGGCTCACACCAACCAGATATTTCACTTGCATCTGAGAGACCTCTCCGGGCAACTCTACAGAGGTTTACTGGGATTAATCACTCAGAAAATGATGTACAACGTGACGGCTCAAGTGCCTCCATGGTCGGGGTGTATAATGACCTGAGTTCTCTCTAAGCCATAGACCCAAGCTATAGGTTATTGAAAGAAGCTCCAACATAAAACCTTAGCGTCACCTTGTGCACAGGTACGCAGTCTCACCTGTGTTCCCTGGGCTGAGCTCGTGCGTGCCCCCCGAAGATTTGGGTTGTAAGTACACAGTACTGCTCCTTTACCTTGAAAGATTTGACTCTTTTGTTCTCCATTTTCCTCCTCAACTACATTTGGTAAATGAAGCTGATGAAGGTTTGAAGTATGAGGGGAGAAAAGCCAATTTTGTGGCAAGGAACAGCGCCTACAAAGTTCCTACTTCGAAAGGAGAGCAGCTGGGACAAGTTTCACAAGCAGCATGAGTCACAGTGGTCTTCTGCAGGGAAACAGTTTTGGCAAAAGGAAGAATTTGCAAAACAGAGAAACAAAAACAGCAAAAACTTCAGTCACTGCAGTGGTATGTCATTACACCCAGGTCAGGAAAAGTGAGCCAATGCTGAGAAACGGTACATTTTTTAAGCTTGTTGGGAAAGGGGG